TGTGGCTTTTGAACCATCTAAAACCAAGTTATCTGGCTTTCTCTCAGAATCAGCCCAAACTCTAACTAAAACATACTGCAAAACTACTGAGGCCAAGTCTTTGAAAATTTTTTTTCAATGCTGCTTGGTCCTCTGCAGGGGAAGTGACAGGGAGACACCCTGCATAAGATTAAGGTGAATTGGTGTTCAGCCACCGTTGCCAAGGCATAGTCATGAAGCAGCGTGTAGACAAGGCTACGCTCTTAACACAGCACCCTTGAGTGAGGTCTGACAAACTAAAGCAGCAGAGCAGTTTAGCCTTACATCTCTCTTTTTTGCACAATTTGTTCAATGTGAAGCTATCGGAAAGAATATATACTTCATCCTGATCAATTCATGGTCCCAAACCTGTTAGAGCTGCTAATTTTCTCATTAAGGTTTGAACTGTGCTACATATTTACTTACCCTCGCGTTGGCTATGGCTTAATTCCAGCAGTATGAGAAACGTATTGCAGACCAGGCTGACTTGTTAATCTTGAATATGCAATAGCTGCTTTGCTGTATCTAAAACTATATAACACTAATTAGAGCAAATGTGACTGAGGTATTTTCACCAGACATCATTCTGAGCATTTCTTCTTCTGATTTTCAAGACTGTTCCTAAACTTTGTTCATTGCTATCTATCCTTTTTTCATATGGATGTTTATACTGCGCAGCTCAGCATATTGTATCTGTGTTCTTTACTTCTTGTTTGTTGGTAATGGAGTTGTAATCAAGCCTTCCTTTGTGTCTTATATAGTGCTTAGCAAAAATGAAAGCACACCTGGAAAACAAATGCATGTTTATTACACAGCATGCTCAGCCCAACAGGATGGGCCTTAATTCTTAGCTTCTTATTCCTCATGGGCCTTAAAGTTCCAGTAGCCATTATCTGCTAAGAATTGTAATTTTGGTGTACGTGATTAAATTTAGCTGTAAATAGTCACTGCATATTTTGCAATAATAAAAAGGTCACTTTGTTTTGGATTATTTATGGATCTTTTGAAGGGTTTAAAAATGAATATGTCTTTGTAACCAAAAGAATAATTGAAGAATGATGTCTTCTGAAAAAAAAAAATCTACAATGTTTGCAAATGTCTTGCTGGTATTTAAAATTCTTTATGGTTATTACAACTAACTTTGTTACAATAATGCATAACACAATGGCACTTTCTGTTATCAAGGTGATACAATTCAGATTTCATATCATGGGTCTGTGTGTAGTATGAGAGCCAACTAAAATAATTTCCTGTTCAGGGGAACTCCTTTTTATCTCCATACAGGTCTTGAGGGAAAAATTAATTTGCATTTTTTGGACTAGAATTCATTTGCTAAATTTATTTAGAAAGTAAATTTTGGTTGTTTCAGTGAATTGAAAAAATATTTAACTATTCTCAGATATATTTTGTAAAGAGATTCTGTTAGCTTTTACCAAATTAATGCTAAAAGACGACAGTTTTCTTGAGGAGGTGTAAGCAATACTGTTTATTCAAGACTGCATTAAGAAATACTACACAGCTGCTTTTTGCTGCTGCAGTAAATCATTCAAAGAATTTGCTATTAAATTATCTTACGCATCTGAAAGAACGGACCTCTGTTGGGATCATAACTCTGCCACTAACTAATGAGGAAAACTTTCCAGCTTCTGGACTGCTTTCTAAATGGACAAAGCATGCCTATAATTTTTTCAAGTAAGAGTTTAATTGTACATCACTAAGTTTGGTAGAA